TGAAGTAAAGTGAAGCAAAATAGTAAAGACTCATCAAACTGAGGCTTTCTGTAGCAACCTCATGATGAAGATGCTATTCTGTTCAGTTGGGACTGACCTTCGTTGCTGCCACCACGTGTCCGTCTCCTTGAGTGAATATAACAGCCATCACATCTTCCATGGCCTCATTTTGAAGTGAAGCAACGGGGCGAAGTGAATGTGTATTCCATATCATGAGCTTAAAAATCACTAGTTCACTTTTGGCAATCCGAGTAGTTAAAGAGCAACATCAATTTCAGATTTAGATTAACCTCATTTCCACCTCCAGAAACTATTGCATTGTTTGACGATGACACCGATAAGCCGCGAATATCACTGCGATGACCATGCTGGAAGCATCAAATATTATTCGTGTGCACTCAACAATTTTTAATTCTTATAAATCATCACGAAAGCTGGTTATCAGATCTAGCAGTAAGTAAAATAGCAACTGAAAATGTACTCGTCGCAACTATATTCAGAATCGGCTCTAGCAAGATCTCTCCCCTTTAAAAAGTTTTGTCGCATAACCTACATGATCAGCTTTTCCAATGATACAATTTGACAAGTATTAGTTAACCCTATCGTCTCTTCATTGCCTACTGAGTTCGTCTGCGTTCCAGCTGTCTCAGTCTTGAAGTAGCTTTTAATCTTTAATTTTAGCTTTTTTCAAAATTTTAATTTAACGTGATAGGATACATGCGGAGCATTTTGCTGAAGCATGGAATCAGGTTTGATATGTCTAATAGGCGTAGGAGCTCCTTAGGTGGGAAGAATGATAAAACCGGCAAGGCAACGTATGCAGGCTATATGTTTGGGGACGAACTTCGTAATTCAAACATACCATTTCCTTAATGCTTTTGCTATAATTTCTCTTGCATTTTTGGTCTCTTTCTGATGTATATCGTTGTTTTATACTTTTACTCTAGATAAAGGTGCAAAGGTCGCGCGGTTGCCTCGAGGTTGTCATTCCACTTGAAGCACTTCAAACCGACTGAAAATACAAAAAAATGGAACTTTCTAGAGGTATTCAATCGTGCGAGGGAGGAGGAGCACGTAATGGTGTCCAGATGAGCGGCCGTCTCTAATCCGCAATCATTGGAAGGAAACTGGAGACGGGAGCAGTAGGGTTATGGAAATCGAACCGGAAGGATTTGCCGCAGGCTTGATGAGTCAAAAACTCACGCATGACACTGTTCAAAAATCAGTTTGAAAATGTCAAATGGGGTATATGAAGGTGTCATTGGTCGAAGGTTAGGCCAAGTTGACAATGTTTTTACGAGAGAAGAGATTGGGACGAATGAAAAGGAGATGAATGGAAAACGGATGCGGTGCGCGCATGGAAAAAGCTCGGTTGTTTAATAAAATGGTATTTTATTCTGAGCTAGGAGTTACAGATGTAGGAAGTAACAATTAATCAGTCAATTGATATGAACCTACCGTAAATGAAGAGACCCTCCAGCAGTTTTCTTTTTGTAAGAAACTGATGGGTTTTAGGAGCATCCCTCTAGAGAAAAAGAGCCATCATTGATTGAAATTCAGTGCAGCGTTCAGGGACTTCGGGTTTTCACGAGACGGAGCGGCGGTTTCGGTTGCCTCGTACGCGAAGCAGTTCGAAGGCAGTGGCGCATCGATCGTCGAATCGCGCGAACCGATGCGCGACCGTCGCGAAGTCTGAACGCTTTCAGGGCCAAAACCTACCAGAAACAGCTCCTCACGAAAAAGTCAACATGGTATGACATCCCAATATTGTTTCCTCAACGGCCGGCTCTCGCGAGACATCTATCATTACATTGAGTTCCCTTTTCTCGGTGCTTATACAATAGGGTGCGTTTTAATGACTGGACCAGCTTTGACATATCATCGACGTTTTCGTACGTTCGCCACAACAACAGAGTTCAAAAAATAACAAGTCTGGTAGTGCCAATATTTCGTTTAGAGGCAACGAGCCCAGAGACGGACTGCACATTGGATCAAGCAGCATGGACTGCGTGGAAAAGCAATTTAAAACTCGTGCGCTAGTGCACGAGGACACAACACGGAACACGGAATGCGATATAAATCTAGCGTGTACACAAGTTTTTGTCACTTTTACGAAGCCCCCCCCCACCTAGATAAAAAGATTTTCTATGAGGTGACTGCGCCCTGAGCTCCCATACTTATCGGCCACCCTGGACGAGCCCCTGTCTTCACAGCTTCTTAACCAAAAGTCATACCTTTTCATGGAAAAATTAAAAAAAAACATTTAAGCCAGCGTTCAGACTTCGTATGACGCGCTACCATTACAACAGTGCTCCTCTCAATGCAGTAGGGGCTGGAGTCGACCGATACCTATCTATGGCTGAATCTCTGCTTGTAGCATTAAAGCGTGTAGCGCGTCGACGCGCGTCATCGCGAGTCTGAACGCTGTTTATGACATTAGCTTGTTAGGTCTTCTACTTGAACATTGAAACTTGATTTCGTAACCAGGAAAAAGAATAATATGCTCTGATACGCAATAGTTGTTTTACAAACCTGATCCAAGTTCGAAACACAATCGATGTTCACAGTGTTCGAAGTTAAATCACAGGCTATCTTCAAGAGATGTACAGTGTTGTTCGACATCAGGGCGAAGGCCTTCAATAAACAAACGAATAGTTAACGCAGATGAATCAGAAATATAAAAGCCAAAATACCGAGTAATTTATTGATCCATCTTCCCTTTGCTTGACGATATGGGTAAAATCAACCCATTTCACTTTGACTGACGTGCGGTAATCTCCAATTCTTGTGATCAGAATGGTCACATCCTTCTTAATTTCATCTTCGGAAACATCAGCGCTCTTCCCTTCACTAGAAACTTATGTGACTGAACTTTGAAGCCATTCTCAAGCAAAATTAACTGCTAGCACCACTTCATATGTAACTTCATTTCAGTTATCAAAAACAGCGGCTTCTTGTTGTTCAAAGAATCTGCTAGATCACTAATGAAGAAGCATCGTTTGACTGCATCCTTTATGTTATCGCGAGATGAAATATCATAAAGAACCCACTTAAACAATAGCAGTATTCTTCGAACAACATTATATTCTTATGCTTTGCTGGAAAAGGGTGAAAGGTCCAACAACAGGAAACTTCAACCCACTTTGACAAGCGCTTCCTG